ATGGATGGATGGATGGATGGATGGATGGATGGATGGATGGATGGATGAATGAATGGATGCAACAGGTTACCATATTACCAGTTGATTACATCAGTACTGCTTAGAGCTCACCTTGTGGTTGCGTCCATGCTTGTACAGCAGTGATATGATGGACTTAATATGTCCTTTCTGGATGATATTGAGCGCCTCGGGGCTCTCAATTAGAATGCAGTGCAAAACTTCTAGGATGCCTGTGCGTTTGCAAAATCCATCAGTTAGTTAACATCCGCAAGAGAGAAAGACACAGCAAAGGACATTTGTTAAAAAAGACTTGCAGTCCTCTTGGATCAAGAGGGAACACAGAGCGCTGCTGGTACTTTCTTAAAGATACATATTAAAGATAAAAGTTTACACATCCAGTTTGCCATCAAAGGAAGTTGTGTTGAGACATTTCACAGTTCTCATCTTAAAAAGCTTGATGAATGTACCTGAAGAAGACTCCAGTCTTTCCAGCTTGCTCACCAACCAGTCCAAGTTATTGGAGAACTGAGTGCAGTTGTTCCTGTTCCCTCGGATTAACGCCGCTGCGAGTCACAAGAAAAGTGAGCACGAGTCAAACTTTATGCTAAGAAATAATCTGCTTTGATCATACACTGCCTGGCCAAAAAAAATGTGGCCAACAAAAAAAAAAGGTCACACACTAATCTAAAAATGCTAACTCTGGTCCTCTGGACATTCAAAAAACAAAACAAAACAAAAAAATTGTAGAAATGTTTTATCAAAGATTGATTCATCCCAAAGATCCAGTCCCCCGGCACAAATAGAGTAATATTGTGTATGCTGTTCAGTGTCAGGAGGGCTTTGATCAGTCTTAATTCGAGGAAACTAAACAGCCACTGGCCAAAAGGATGGCCCAGCCCAGAAGAGCAATATCATCAGGCCAGGACTCTGCGGTCTACACTCATCTTCAGGCCAGCGGTCAGGATGAAGATGTGCACATCCTGGATAGAGAGGAACGATGGTTTGAGAGAGGAGTAAAGGAGGCCATCTTTGTGAAAAGAAACTGTCCATCATTAAACAGGGGTGGAGGCCTCCGTGTTCAACTGTCCTCCTCTTACAATGCTGTTATTGCTAGTATCATTCAGCCCTCTGTGAATAGCAAGCAACTATCAATGTGCTAACAATCCATTGTTAGGCTGATGGTCCTCCTTCATCATATGAAAAGATAGTTTTGGCTGTCAGCAGCAAACTGGTTGATCCACTCTGATAAGGTACTATTTATAAGACTGAGCTGAATACAGCACCTCAGACTGAGGAAGTCTTTCAGATGAAAGATGAAACGTTTCTACAATTTTTTTTTTTTTTTTTTTTTTTTTGAATGTCCAAAGGACCAGACTTAA